GGTAGACATTTGTCACCTTTGAATTTTAGGTGGGCTCATCTTTCTGATTTTATTACTTTTTCTTGCTTAGATTTTTGTTGCATTTTGGTGAGGATTTGTGTTAAAATTTTGTACGAACAGGTGATCACAAGATACCTGCGCACAGGTTTTGGTCTCAAGTTACTTGGAACATTGAAATAGAGGTAGCCAAAAAGAGAAATAAGAAAAAGGGGGGTCAGCATTTGGCTTTTAAGAGAGGATTTTGGGAAAATTTTACTAGAGCTTGAGTGGTGGTACAAGGTACGGCGAATCAATAAGTCCCCATAACGAAGAGGAAAGAAGTCCCACCACCCAGACACTTGTCAACAGTCTTGGGACAGTGCCGAAGAAGTCTTAGGACAGAGCAGTCTGGGGACAGTCTTGGGACAGTACAGTCTTGGGACAGTGGTCTTGGGACAGGGTCTTGGGACAGGGTCTTGGGACAAGGGTCTTGGGACAGGGTCTTGGGACAAGGTCTTGGGACAGGGTCTTGGGACAAGGTCTTGGGACGGGGTCTTGGGACAAGGTCTTGGGACAAGGGTCTTGGGACAGGGTCTTGGGACAGGGTCTTGGGACAAGGTCTTGGGACAGGGTCTTGGGACAAGGTCTTGGGACAGGGTCTTGGGACAAGGTCTTGGGACAAGGTCTTGGGACGAGGGTCTTGGGACAGGGTCTTGGGACAGGGTCTTGGGACAGGGTCTTGGGACAAGGGTCTTGGGACAAGGGTCTTGAGACAGGGTCTTGGGACGGGAGTCTTGGGACAGTAGTCTTGGGACACTAGTCTTGGGACAGTAGTCTTGGGACACTAGTCTTGGGACACTAGTCTTGGGACAGTAGTCTTGGGACACTAGTCTTGGGACACTAGTCTTGGGACACTAGTCTTGGGACAGTAGTCTTGGGACACTGGCCTTGGGACAGTAGTCTTGGACAAGAGTCTTGGGACACTGCCGGAAAGTACTGGGACGGTACCGAACAGTCTTGGGACAGGAGAAAGAAGCCTGGGACGGTACAAAGAAGAGTAGGGACGGCAATTGGAAGTCTTGGGACAGTATAAAAATTGAAGTAAAATTACAAGAAGTGTTTTAAGACAGAATTAAGATAGAACAAGACTAATTGGAACCAGGTACGGTTGAGACCACAAATAAGGAAAGTTTCTCGAAAAGTTAATAAAGAGAACTGAAACAAGGTTTTCACCACGTTGTATACATTTTTTTTTTTAAGAAATTTTTTTTTCTCGAAAGATTTTATTCTTAGAATAGGATTGTGTATATAGTAAAATTGTAAATAAGAACAATTGTAAATAGAAATAATGAGGCGGAGCAGGGTACCGGTAGCTGAAAAAAGACCTACCGAAGCAAAGTATAATTCGTCGCTACGCAAAACAACATCAATGGGCCCAAAGATAACAAGGAAGAACTTTTCAGTTAACATGGTCAGCACAAGGAGTACAACGGAGAGAGCAAGAGAGGGCATGGAAGGGGAACGAGTAGAACCCACCATCGAGATTGATCTAGAGACACCTGATCAAAGTGTTGATGAAACAAGGAAAATAGCGACGGAGTCAACTCCAATGCGCAATGCAGAAGAACCAAACTCGAAACCCATAGAATTCTCACCAATAGACAACGTGGAAGATGCAATAGGCAACACCGAAGAAACGGTGAAAGAAGACTCTCAAGTAAAAAAGACATCTTTTACAGAAAGGTTGGCGATGATGGTCGGAATAAAAACGAAAGAGAACGTGACTGAAGAACCAAAAGCTGAAAGAGCACGAACATTTGGAACAGTAAGCACGAAGACGACAGAAGCCAATCCGAGAGAGGAACAAACTAGAGCAGAAGCGACGGCCGAAGAAAGACCGACGGCTGACCATGAAGAGGCTACTCTTGAGCTAGGCGACTTGATGGCGAAACTGAATCAGATCGACAAAAAGCTGAAGCACAGCGAAGAGGACAGAGAAGTGATAAGAAAAGAATTAAGATACAACAAAAACGAGTATCTGGATAGTTATTTTAACCTGGCCAAGGCAACAGAAGAGAGACTCACGGAGATGTCAGATAATGTAGAAACCACCAATGAAGAACGAGATAAGAACATCAAAAAAGATTTGCAACAGTTAAAAAACCGATATGATGATGTCAACAGCCAATTAGGTAGCCTGGAAAAGAGAATGGACACAATGAGCAAAAATCAGGCCGAGAGTTCGTGTGCAATACAGGCGAAATTGGATGCAATCTTGAGTAATTCTACCTCACAAGAAAGACCGGCAGCAGATCGCACGCAAGGCACCAGAGTTGACTTTGTGGAACCACAAAGGAACAAACGGCAATCGACACCGTTGCCCTTAACCCGGGATACGGTGAGCATAGCACCAACAGCTGCTAAAACAATCATGAAGAATGGAATGTCAAGTACAACGACTGGTCCGGGGGACTCAACAGCTAACAGCAATGCAGGTCCGGATGCTATGACATGGGCAAACACTTGGGAGATGATGAACAGGACTCTAGAGGCCTTCGCCACGAGGAACACTAACTCGAGCGGTAGGAGAGATGGGAAATCAAGAAAAACATTCAAGAAGCCAAAAGAATTCAAAGACGACTCAGATGGATGCATTGACACGTGGGTGGAAGTGATGAGATTACATCTAGAGCAAGACAACTTGAACGATGAAAGACAAGCATGCACAGTCATACTCAGCAATTTAGAAGGCACAGCATTAAAATGCGTGGTTGCGAAGAAAGAAGAAGAACGCGATACCGCGGACAAGATCTTCGAGATATTGCTGAATCGATTCGGGTCAGGCATGAAGGGTCACCAAGCGATGATGCGATTTGAAAAGAGAAGGCAGAGGGACGACGAGTCAATAGATCGGTTCCTAGATGATCTCGAGAGCTTGAGAAGAAGGAGTGACCCAGAGGAGTCGACAAACAGAAAAAACTTTAGCATTGCCTCGAAGTTCATTGATGGGGTAAAAAGTGACGACTTAAGGACAATGTTAGCAACACACTACACATTGTCGAAAGACAGCGCACCAACCCCAGAAGAAATGAGACAGAAATCAAGGGAATACATGCTGATGAAACCCAAGAAATACTCGTATTCAGAAAACAGGAACACGCAAGGGGGAAGTCAACCGCAGAGGTCGTCATGGTACAAACCTAGAGATGACATGGACAAGCGCAGATCATGCGCGAACTGCGGGTCGGCGAATCACCACGTGGCTGACTGCACAACATACAAACAAGGCATGAAGAGTCTAGGATATGCACCAGATGAGGAGGACATGAGCCAGATGGAGGAACACGAGTACTATAGTGGCTTAATCATCAAGATAGGCGCAAGATGCTTCTTCTGTAACCAGGAGGGGCACTTCCGAATGGATTGTCCCTTGTTCTGGGAAGCGGTCAAGGACCAGAGTCACCCTAAACATAAGTTGGCATTAGCGGCGGTGCAGAATCAGCGGAACAGGCAAAACGAATTTGAATCGAGGAACTTAGGAGCACCAAGCACGGAATTGCCGACGAAGACAGTGAAAGCTGTATCACATGTTAATGATGCCATAGAATCCGCGGCAGGGAACTCTCTAGAGATAAATTATGAGAAAGCGGCGACGGAAGCAATTGCCAAAGTGAAACAGGATCTGGCTGCGAAAGAAATAGAGCAACGACTAAAGCTGGAGATAGAAAGACAGAATTTTAACGAAGCATTAACCGGATCGAAACAAATACCAGAGGCTGTAGACCGGGAATTGCAATACTGTGAAAATGGTGACAGGTAAACCTTTTGGCATATCGAAAATCGGGGCAAGGATAATGTCGATAATCACAGTGGGCGGCCACGAGGTAACCAGAAACTTGAGCGAGCCGAGCGACCAGACGATAATGCACATTGACGTGTATGCAGACTATTTGAGTGGTATAAGCCCACAAACGACTTCTAGAGCACTGAGAGCACTACTCATGAGAGGGGGCAGCAAGTCGGTACGTGTTGATAGCAGATATACTGAAGCTTACGGTCCACACGAGGTGATGCTAAATATAGATGGGATTAACATCTATACCAAGACGATGATAACATGTGACGAAGACCTAATTGGACAAATCTACATAGGGAAAGAAGAATTGAAAGTGAGATCGATTGGACACTGCGCCATGCTTGAGGAAGATGCAATGCACATCGGGACGGAGGCGGATGTGACAGGGCACGTGCTGGATATAAGTGGCAAAAAGACTCAGTTGCGTGGGTTGCTTGACACGGGAGCAGTCTTGAGCGTTATACCAATCGAAACTTGGGAGAAGATGGGCTTTGACAAAGGTGACTTGATAGACTCGAGAATACGGCTGTCAGCTGCAAACAAAGGGGCCCTACGGGTGCTGGGCAGGACGCCGATAATAGCCCTCAATTTGGGGGAACGTAACCTGTGGATGAGCTTTATCGTGGTAGAAAACCTAGATGAATCTGACCAATTCATTTTGGGCAGAGACTTCATCAGGAATTTCGACGTAACGATTGATTTAAATAACGCAATGTTCAGGATACGGAACCCGGATAGGAGGTACGCAATCAAACCGGTAAATTTAATAATGGCAAATGAAAACAAAGCACCGGTATTCTTGAGTAGGAGGGTGAGGCTAAAAGCTAATGAAGCGGCAATCGTAAGTTTGAGGATGAAAAAATACAATGAACTAAGTGACAACAAGCAAGTGTGCATAGTTCCGAATCCTAATAGTCAAAGTGCTGCTGTTTTAGGAAGATCATTTTCGATAACGAAGAGCGGCCTCTGCGTCAGTGTCTTGTTGAATACCCTTGATATACCGATCACGATACAAAGAGGGAGGAAACTGGGATATGCTTTACCGGTTAAAACTCGATATGAAACAATTGAGAATTCAAAACAAAATGAAGTTGTTGATTGCCCCAATCACAGGGACAAAATTTGTATCTTGAGACGATTGCAGAAAATAAAAGATTCTTCAGGTCTTATTAAATCACTTAAGTCAGAAACGGATGATGGTCTTTCGAGCTGTTCGAACTTTCCAGAGCGACCCACACTAGATGAAATGCAAAATGAAAAACCGGTCCTGCCGGAGATTGAACATTTGAGGGGCAAACTGAAAGATGAACAGCTCGAAGCCATCAAGGACGTTTTTTCGAGGCATAAGGCGGATATCGGGTGTTGTAATTTCGTTGAGCATGAAATAGAACTTGAGGAAAACGCGGTACCACACAGGGAGGGGGCGAGGCGCATGACCCCACACAAATCGGACGCGTGTAGAAAAGAGATCGAGACGTTACTAGAGTATGACATGATAGAACCATCCAAGTCACCGTGGGCGTGTGGAGTAGTGATGGCCAAAAAGAAAGGCGACCAGTTGAGGTTTTGTTGTGACTTTCGATACCTGAACTCCGTCACGGTGAAGGATGCCTATCCCATACCTAGGATTGATGAGAGCCTCTCGAAGTTAGGTGATGCAAAATTTTTTACGACTCTTGATTTAGGCTCGGCCTTTTGGCAAGTACCACTAAGGAAGCAGGACAGGGACAAGACAGGGTTTGCCTGCGAGTTGGGTCTGTTTCAATGGAAACGGATGCCGTTTGGACTTTGCAATGCCACAGCCACGTTTCAGCGGTTGATGGCACACGCGCTGATAGGCGTAACGAAGAAGTATGGCAATCTGGTAATGTGCTACGTGGATGACGTGGTAATAGCGACGCCAACACTGGAAGACCACATTGAGAGACTAGACGAAGTGTTTGCATGCATGAAGAGGTCGGGGCTAAAGTGTAAACCATCAAAGTGCGAGATACTCAAGGACTCAATAAAATACTTGGGCTGGATGGTAGACAAGCACGGCATCAGACCTGATACGGACGCCGTGGAAGCAGTCCTGACCTGGAAATCACCGAAGACAGAGCACCAGTTGATGAGCTTCCTGGGTTTCGCTAACTATTATAGAGAGTTCATCAAAGGCTATGCAGACAAGGTATACCCGATGCAACAATTAATGAGACACAAGGGCAAGAAGTTCACGTGGAACAACGCAGCAGAAGAGTCATTCCAGAGGATAAAGAAAGAGCTATGTGAGGCACCAGTACTGGGTATGCCGACTGAGAAAGGGATGTACGTGCTAGACACGGATGCGTCGGTAGTCGCGATTTCTGGGATTCTCCACCAAGAACAAGAATGGAATGGGAAGACAGTCTTGAGACCAATAGCGTACGGGAGCAAAGTCCTGAGTGACACGGAAATGAAGTACGGAGCACCGAAAGCTGAGATGTTCGCGGTGGTTACCTTTGTCGAGAAATACAGGGCGTACCTGGGCAGTGAGCCATTCAAGTTGCGAGTCGACAACAGAGCACTGAGCTGGCTGAAAACGTACTCAATGGACCAAAGTTACATTGGGAGGTGGATAGTTCGCCTGGACGGATACAACATGATAATTGAGCATAGAACGCGAGATAAACATCAGAATGCCGACAGCTTGAGTAAGAAGACGGAGTTCTATGAGATACAAGAGCAAAGAGAAGCAGACAGACCTGAAATCAAAGATGGCTTCTCATTCATGAACAAGGAAACGTACGACAGTCTTCCACTTACGAGATGGCTGGACAAGTCAGGCAAACCGATAGAAGATCATCCTGAATTGCCTAAAGAGCCTCCAGAGAAGACCATCTTGAGGAAGAGCAAGAGGATTCCGATTGATATTATACTCAAGTCGAAGATCGTGAAGGAGACGCTCAAGGCAAAAGGCTATGATCTTAGCCAGGTGGAAGCAGGAACTGCACAGATAGATGATGACTTAATGAGGTTGCTCGAGAAACTATCAGATGATAAGCCAGTGATCCAGGAGAAGGGTTAAGAGAAACCGGAGTTCACTATACTTCGGAGAAAAGAGACAGTGAACGATACTGACTCATCAAGAGGAAGCGTCACTGACAGCAAAGATGTCGTGCGGTCACTAGTTGACAAAATCCCCGAAGACATTCTGGAGCAGACCAAGGTTAGGAAAAAGAAAGTGACGTTCAAGGAAGATACTGAACACCTGGGACTAGGTCAAGAGTCCGGGGAGTGTTCCAGGTTCACGGAAGAAGGAACCGGAGAAGGAAAATTGTCCGGGGAGCGTGAAGGATGGGATGAAGACTCGGATGAGAGCAGCGAAAACCAGGACAGTCTGTACATGATACTGGCGGAAGAGAAGACAAGGCACCACGACAGGGAGTTACAGACGGATCCATCTTCAGGAACATACAACATGGACATACAGGAGATGCGAGGTGGTGAGGAACTTGAGAAAATTGCGGTCGCAAGGAAACCATTCAGGGAACTATCATGCAACTCAAACATCAAAACGAATCTGGTGCCAGAAGATGATATGAAAATCGTGAAAAGGATGATATGCGTGAAACTGAGTGATGACATCCACAACCCTGGTGAGATGAATGGACAGATCATGGCGCTAAAGGAGCATGTCAAGGCAAGATATAGGCTGTCAGACCTAATAAGAGCCCAGAAGAATGACAAAATGACAAGTAACCTCTCCAAATGGATCCAGTCGGGGGTCAAGGAGAAGGGGGAACTTGAGGAAGACAGCTACAAGATCTTGAGCCAGTTCTACAAAGAAAAGAAAGACTTACTTTATCACACAGCTGATGGAGTGGTAGCGTGCAAGAGGAGAGATGAGGAAAAGATATTACACAAACACAACCTCATCATACTACCACAATTGTACCAGACAGAGGTGCTTTTCAGATCACACGACCAGATGGGTCACCAGGGGATAGACAAAGTACAACAAAGGATACTTCACAGATTTGATTGGCCAGGAATGAGAAAAGCTTGCGAGAGATGGGTGAATGCCTGCCTGGCATGTCTCCAGGTAAAAGACCCAAGGAAGATGAAGTTTCCCCTCAAGTCCGTTGAGAGCTCGGAGTTCAATGAAGTGGTGCAGATAGACCATCGAAAAATCTGCATGACAGAGTCGGGATACAACCAGATACTGGTTATAATAGATCACTTCACAAAGTTGGCGGAAGCGGTTCCGTGCCAGACAGCCTCGGCCGAAGAGACATGTGATCATCTGATAACGCATTGGATATCGCGGTATGGTTGTCCAATGACTTTCCAGTCGGACAACGGCAAAGCTTTTGTGGGGGACTTGACAAAAGAATTGATGAAGAGATCGCACATTGCTCAAGCACACTCGATGACCTATCACCCGCAGACCAATGGTTTGGTAGAGAGACAAAACAGGACACTGGTCAACATGTTAAGGGTGTACTGCTCAAGATACATGACGGACTGGGACAAATACCTGCCACAGGTAGTAGGAGCCTACAACAGTACACAGCACTCAACTACGGGCATCAGTCCTTTCATGATGTTGACGGGCAGGGAGAGAGCAATGCCTCTGACATTCTTTTACCCGGAATACGAGGGGAAAAGGACGTCGCCTCAGGCATACGTGAAAGAAGCGATCAAAAGACAACAGGAGTTGAACGAGCTATGCAGGAGGAACACGGCGCAAGCGCAAATGAGGCAACGCAGGAAATACGACGAAAAAATATTAAGAGCAAAGCCATATGAAGTGGGCCAATACGTGTGGGTCTTCCAAAATGTAATACCGCCCAAGGGAACAAAGAAACTACTCAAGAAGTGGAGGGGACCATTCATGATAACGGAGGTTCATCAACAAGGACGGTTCTATCGCTTGAGTACTGGGCGAGCGGCACATTATGAGAATCTGAAGCCTCACGTCCCGTCCCCAGAGGATTGGTGCATACCGAAGGACATGGAGGGTCTTGAGTACCTGGTGGTAGAGCCAGCGTGTGAAGTGAATGAGAAAGGTACTCGAGAGAAAAATGATGGTAATGAGAACTTGAGTTTGGACGACAATGAAAAGATAGGAGTGGGGTCTGATGCAGGATCATTTGTAGAAGAAGACTGGAACGACCCGGAGCAAGACGAGGTGCCGAAGTGGATGGAGCCGGATCGACAAACACCACCGGAAACCAGGACTGGCAATCGTAAACGCACCGGCATGAGGTACAACAGGTACGGGGATGACTTCTTGATCGATAAGATACAGCCAGACAATTTGGGCGAGGAATTACTGAAGGCAGGCGAACTGGAAGCCGGAGAGGAATGGCAGGTCATTGACGATGGTGGTCATTATCCGCAGGATGATTACTCGACGCCAGAAGTAGAAACGGATCTCGAACAGAGTGAGATAGAGAGGAGGGAGAACACGAACTTGAGGATTCTAGAGTGGATGCGTGATGTCAAAGACGAGAGCCGCGAAGGACAAAGCATTCAGCAAGTCGATGTATCAGCAGCAAATTACATGAAGACAGAGGACCCTCTTTTCGGATGGACGGCAACAGACAGGCCACTGGACATTCCTCAGGACAATTCAGACCCGACAACATCGACGGGGACGTCGATAAATATTTTTGTCCGGGGAGTGGGGGTAGGACTTACCCACACCGAAAATTTGATGATAAAGAAGCTCAAGGAAGTGAGAGAAACGAGCGAATTGGAACTGGAGGAAGAAGAGCCAGAGCCTACTATAGGTCGGAATTTCAAAACGAAATTCGAAATACCCAATGAATACTCGGAGAACATCATGATAACAGATAGCGACTTCATCCTGTCAAACAGGGCCAGCGCGATCTGCATCACGGCGGACATGAGTTTCAAATCAAGAATGGAAGCTGACTTCAAAAGAGAGTACCAGAATGTAGAGTTTCTGTTCAGACAGAGACCAGGACTGGGAGGGATGGCAGCGCTTCCACCGTCAGTGGCACAAGTCCCGGGCAAATATCTGTGCTTCCTAGTAACGAGGGTCAATGACAGGAACACAATCGATCCCGAACACGTGATATTGGTACTAACAAGATTACGAGACTTCATGATTGAAAGAGGGATAACAGAAGTCTCAATGCCGGTGTATGACCCGAACAGGGGCAAACTATGCCCGAGGGAATTGTAC